AGAAAACTAAAGAGAAACAAATGAGGCAAATGTTAGAAAAGAAATTGGTTTCTAATTATGTTATGTTTGAAAAAGCTTTCCATAGAAACGGTATCCTGATAAAATCTCGTTAGTGGGACCTGAGAGCTGTCTGGCTGCTGAAGAGGCTGTTGAGCAGCCTGCCGATCATTCCTCTGCTACTAATCAAACACTCTAAACACTCATTTTCCTCTTAAACTACTTCAGATTTAGTGAAGCCTTTCATTTTGTGCGGTAAGTGAGTGCGGACCTCTTCTAGGAGGGCTTAGAGAGGAAGACGTTTCCTGTTTGTTCCTGGAACCACTTCAAATCTCCTGCTTGACTTTAGATTTGTTGAAAAGAAACCTACATCTCAAACTATTTAGAGATGCCTTAATGCAGAGCTTTCTATCTGTGTGTGAACTTCACAGCCGTCTGGATGCCAATCACATCGTCAACGTCCCACCCGGCTGTTTCTCTGGACTGCGGTCGCTTCGCCACCTCTGGCTGGATGACAACTCTCTGACCGAAGTCCCGGTCGAGGCTCTGGAAGAGCTGCCGACCCTGCAGGCCATGACGCTGGCCCTCAACCACATCGCTCACGTCCCGGACGACGCGTTCAGCAAGTTGGGTCGCCTGGTGGTGCTGTACGTAAAAGAAACGCATGCTGGGGTTTTAATGGGGTGCAGAATGAGATGCAGTCTGAGGAACGTTCACCAGTAAACCATACAAAAACATCTTCAGCAACAGAAAAACGTTTACAGTTCAAAACACCCATTTAAAGGCTTTACCAGATTATTCACAGACGGAACAATTTCTACTGTCTTTTTAACGAGAGAATACAATTAAACATTTATTTTACACAACTCCTTCTGTATAAATGAATGCATCAATGCGGCAGATCAGCGTGAGCTGTTCTGCAAAGTGTCATTTCTGGTGTCTCACCTTCACCTCAACACCTGCGCTAAATTTCAGCTGACAATGAAATAAACCATCATCTCATTTGAAGCAGAGTTTACAAAAAAATTATAAATTTGCAGCCGGCCCAACACATTCCAATCAGAACAGATTGATGACCCAGAGTTTCGGTTAGAGTACAACTATATCTAAAAACAAAGGTCAGAATCATAAGTTCAACTCAGTTCTTTGTAGCCTTACCTTTATTGGAAACGCCAGAGGTTTCCTCCAAGTCACTCACCTGTAGGGTTGCCGACCGTCCCTTAAAAACGGAATCGTTCTGTATTTAGAAATAAAAGTACCTGTCCCGTATTTAGTGGAAAAGGAACGCACGTTGTCCCGTATTAATTTGAGAGTAAAAAAAATAACCAGTAAAAAGCAAATGGAAAATGAAGAACAAGGGCACATTAGATACAAAACTTAGGGTAAACTTGTTCCCAGACCCTGTCCTGCATTGTGACCAATGACCAACATATATGTAACAATCCAGAATACCCTCATCCTATTGGTCGAGCCAAGTGCTGCTCAAGGAGACGACAGAGCAGTATGGGGGACAAACGTAGTAATTGAAATGCTGCAAGAGCACGGAGGACATACAAGTGGAAAAAATAAGACTATCGCCACATGATGTGGCATCGAGCTAATGATTTTTTTTAGCCGGATTTTTGTAGCCTAAAGTCATTGCATTCAAGGCACAAATATGTTTACCAGCTTTCCCAAGTTTGCTGTTACACCAAAAATTTTCACTATTTATTTATTGTTTTATGTTCAATTTTACAGTTTGAAGTTGAGCAGGACAGGCTTATGTTTGAGATACTTATTTTATTCAGCAAAGTTTGTTATTTTGTATTAAAGTGAATAGCTGGATAATAATTTGTTTTCCATGTGTTCATGTCACCCACAAATATGCATCTAATTCAATGCAGATTTGAGTCAAATAGTTTAAAAAAAAAAATTATTTCACACACAAAGGGGAGCTAGCAAACAATCACCAGGCCAGGAGGGATAAAGGCAATCAGCTGGCACACACATGAGGTGTCCCTTTTTTTTTTCTTTTCAGGGAGTTGACAACTCTACTTACCAGGTTTGCTTTCAGTGAAGCTGGTATATTGGCCCATTCCTTCATCAGACTTCCATAAGAGTAGCCATGTTTTGTTTTGTTTTTTTTTGTTTTTTTTATAAAGGGTTTTTGCGGCACTAGTTGCAAGTTTTTGCAAAGTAAGCTGACAGAAAAGGGGGTACAAGAGAGGGGAACAGACATGCGGCAAAAGGATCACGGGTCCTTTCTCGAACCCGGGTCGGTCCCTACCGTGCCACACAATTTCCAGTGATGATTCTGCTTAGCAGTGTGATAAACCTCAACGTCTGTCGTTGTTTCCTCCGTCTGCAAGCCCTGATTAGACTATCGTTTGTCGTATCCACTTCCCAAAAGCCTGACTCTCCGCAAACAACGAAATATCACAATTATAATCAAACTTCATGAATGTTACGGGCGCTGCCATGTTGATTTGCTTGTTTCCCTCTAGAGAGCAGTAGTACCATATATTGCCACTAGGAGGTGACAAACCGTGCTAGCGTGGTGTGTAAATTGGTCGTAGGGAACCGAGCTTGGCACGATAATTGATCCAAGCTTGGTCCGAACTCAGCATGGATGGGTTTTCAGAAGGTCGTGTCTAAATGGGGCTACAGTTTCTGTTCCTAAAAACAATTTTTTTTTGTCTGTAATGCTGAATTGATGCATTAATTTATGCTAAATTAATATAAATGGCTGAGATTTATGACTGTTTACGCTTGTGGCTAAATAACTAACTTTAATAATGACCTAATTGTTACAGATTGAATCTACCGAATGTTTGCTGTTCAGAATATAAAATATGTAAGATGTGAAAACTAAATCAGGAGATGTTTAAAGCTATTTGCCTCCCTGTCTGTCCACGTTACCTCTTTAATAACATGCAAGCTCCCCGTTTGTGTCCGTGTGATGGCATTCAGAGCGGCGTCATTGAAGTCCGCTGTCATTTCTTTTGTCCAATCGGCTTGAAGCTAATTTGCATGAAATTACCAAAAGAAAAAACCTTCTTGAGAGGGCCTCAGGGCCCCTTTTTAAAAAGACACATACTCAGTCTTTGTCCCCTTCATTAGTCCATCAGTTTTTCTCGCTTTCTCTGCAGGCATCTCAACAACAATAGGATCGTTTCCATGGGCACCAACTGCTTCCACGGACTCCACAGCCTGGAGACGTTGTGAGTTTCTCTGTGTGTTTTTGTTTCTGTTGAGGAGTTGGAGCAGGGAGGGTTAAGTCGGGGTCAGCGAGGCAGATTTCTGCTCCTAAACAGTCCTTCTGATGGACAATCTGAGCTTTCTCTCATCTCTGTGGGTCTTCTCCAGGTTCATGTACGACCCAGGGGGCCTTCTTCAAGATGACTGTATCAAACCCAACAAAAATAAGTTAAACATGAAACCACAAAAGAAAAGAAAAACATACAACAGAGAGTAGATCCTGTTAACATCGGTCTAAAGTAAATGTTAAAATGCTTATTTATTTGTCAGATATTTTTGTTCCTGTATGAATTTAAGCAAATTTCAAACCTAATCAAATATAAACACATTATAAAATGTTTGCAGATTTAGAGCTGGACAGGTGTTTGATGATTCTTATAGCAAATACATTGATTTGACCAAAACTATAATTTCATCCACATCCAGAGAAAACTTTGAATATTTACATGAAACAAAGGATGAAACCCAATGAAGAAAAACAGAGGTGGTTATTATGCTAGTTCCAGTGATGACTCCCTGACTTTCACTGGTTCTTTAGCCCAGTATGTTGGGCCTCTTATTACTAGTGTGTCACCGATGCCGATACCAGTATCGGGCAGGGCCTCGATCCATCACTAATATGATGGCATCGGCGAGTACCAACAAATAGGGCACCGATACCATTTTGTGAGCCAAAAGTTTATTCAACTATTGTCTCCCATTCCAGGTAGGCATAAAAAGTTCTACTTGATTCACTTTGTATTAGTCTTTTTCCTGCTTCACAAAGGTAGGCAGCAGCTTCACAAAGCCATGATGGCAATTATTTTACATCCAAGTAGTATGCAGTTCTTCATCTATATACAAAGACACACGCCAATTTCAAACATATGGTATCGGTATCGACCGATACGGCACAGCCAGGCATCGGGTATCTGTGCCGGGGCCAAAAGATGGCATCGGCGCAACACTACTTATTACCAATTTAGGGGTTAACCACAGATATGATTCCACCCCCCCACCCCCCAGGCTCTCAGGTAAAACACTCTCAAAGAGAGAGACTTGAGCTAAAACCAAAGCTGAAGTGGGTGGAATGTTTCTCCAGCCACAGCATTAATGGGGCATTTACATCTGAAAAGGATTCATGAGTTGATAACTACTGCGGAGGGACTGCAGGCTGACGAAAATTCTCGTATCTCTGGGACTTTTAGTGTTAAAACAGATGCTTGTCTGAAGTTTGAATCTCACATTAGAGCTGTTTTAAAATCCTGCTTCTTCAACTTGAGGCAGCTAGCTAAGGTTAAATCTATCCTTTCACCTCAGCATTTTGAAACAGGGGTCCATCCCTTTGTAACCACTCGGCTGGATTGAACTTTATAATTAAACTTTATTGGATTGGAGATTGGAGAAATTTACCTCTGCGTTTAGCCCATCCCCCTGGGGATCAGTGGGCTGCCATCATGAGGCGCCTGGGGAGCAGTGTGGGGTTAAGACCCAGTGTGGGAGTGGGGCTCAAACTCAGAACCTCAGGATTCCAAGTTCTATACCTTACCCACTAGGCCGCCACTCTCCCATAACCGCCATAGTTAGTGGATTACTGTTAATCACTTTAAAGGACATCATTGATTCAAGTATTTCCAAGCCTCAGTGGGTGAAGAATGCTGCTGCACGTCTTTTAGCATTTTATCATATTCTCCCTGTTTTAGACTCTTTACATTGACTGCCAGTACATTTTAGGATTGATTTTAAAATACTTTTATTTGCTGTTAAAGCTCCTAATGGTCTTCCCCTGCCCTACCTGTCTGAGATGCTTCATCCCTACACACCCCCTCGCTTCCTTAGATCAGCTGACCAGTTGTTAATGAGGGGGCCAAAGACAAAAAACAAGCTCAGAGGAGACCGTGCTTTTTCTGCTGAAGCCCCTAAGCTGTGATTTTAAATCTCTTCTTAAGACCCATTTCTTTTCCTTGGCTTTTAACACAATCTGAGCTGTTGACTTTGTCTTACTGTGTTTATTGTATTATTTTATTACTACTTTTATGCACCACTTTGTTTTTATGATTGATTATTTGTATCTTATGATCGTGTATAACACTGGTCCTGTTGAGTGCTGGAAGTGCTTTATAAATAAATTTGATATGATGTGGAAGGATGTTAAATTAATAAAATTTAGAAGCATCATTTGATGACAGAGCAGTTGCAGTAAATGGTCTGACCTGCTGTACTGAGCTCATTAAAGAGGCATTATGTAAGTTTTTACTGAAAAATATCTTTAAATTAGCCTTTTCAATAGACGCTTTACGACTAAAACATTGTTTCATGAGCAGACTGACATCTTAGTAGTTCAGCACTGATGATTCAATAAGCCTGTAGCCTGCGGTCAACATCGGATATGCATTTGAGTCTTGGAGGGAACTCACAGCCCTGGTAGACCTCAAACATCCTGGTTCTGAAGGGACACTATCTGCTTTAACCCACCTGGTTCAAATGATTGCAGTTCGGCAATGAACCAAAATGAGGTTTGCTGAAGCAGCATCCTTGACAGTGTTGTTTCTAAGTCACCAATTTAGTGCTACTTGGTCCCAATGGAATTTCCCATTGGGAGCCCATTAGCACTAAGCTGCTAACTGGTTAGTAAGATGCTTCAGAGAAACTGGCCACAACCAAACGTGCTTGCAAACTTTCTGCCACAACAATCCCGCCCCCTTGATAATCGAATCACAATCACATTCACTTTATTCACTCGTGTAAAACTGTGCAACACTTGGGAGAATTCAGAAATGCAACGGTTGGAACAGCCGCTTCCATACGACTTTAAGCATTCAGGGCAATGTTCCACATGTTTATGTTTGTGATGGTAGGACGATGGTGTACCTTCTATCTATTGGTCTAAGATTTGTGTTAGAGACCTAATGAAGCAGCAGGTATGTTCTCTGATTTTTCTAATCTGAAAATATAAATGTTTTGTTTCTACATTCGTAGTTCAGTTTGCTATATTTTAAGTAGGGATGCACTATAATGGAAATTCAGCTGATATCTGATATTTTACAGCTCACTACTCACTCACTAACCAATGCAGATAATCTTTCCCCTAGACCTACTTACAGACACTATCTAGTTTTCTCCCACCCAGGTCAGTGACATTTTTACTTCAGCTTATAACCTGAGGGTGCTGCACGCATCATCCTCACATGTTTGTCACCCAAACAGTGCCTTATATTTCGGTGAATTATGATGTTGGAAGGGCCGATTTCATGAGTTATTAAGATACGACACAAACAGAAAAAGAAAACAAGGGAGAAGCTATTTAGTTATGCATTAAGCAAATGATAGATTCAACATTAATAACGATGTGAGAGATAAATTGTTGCTGATGGTGGCGCTGTTGCCTTGATTTAAGGAGCTACATGTGTGCATGTTCTCTTCATGCTTGCTCAGATTCTCCAGATTTCTCCCACAGTCCAGAAACATGACAGCTGGGTTATTTGTCATCTTTAATTTGACCATAAAGCAACACTGCATAACTTTTGACCCAAGTATCATCCTATTTGGAAATTATATTTAGGTCAATATTTAGCACTTGGTATGGTATCGTTGCTCCAGGCTTCTCTTCACAAAAACTTCTCTATTTTACTTTAGTGGGTATGATTTTTCTCTGAATGAGTCATTTGACTCAGCACTGCAAAAACTATCTAAAAACAAGTAAACATTTCTTAGAATAATTGTATTAATTTAATGACTCAGAATTCAGGCAAGACCGACAGTGGAATACCTGAAAAAGCGTTTATCCAAACAACGGGCAGTGGGTCTGCGGTATCAGTGGCATTGCGTCTAAAGCAGGAACGTCTATAGTTAAGTTCAGTCCGTGCCCAGAGAATGAGGATGATTTCAGTCGGTCAGCTGACAAGACCAAGTCTAGAAGCCTGCAGAACTGGCAGGAGGTGAGATCCAAGCAGACGAAGAAAGGCAGGACAATCCATGTCGAAGTCAGGAGGCAGATCCAGGTTCAGTCCACAGAGGAGTTCAACAGGAGTCCGAAGACAGGTCAGGCAAACAGATCAGACAGGGGCAAAAACTAGTCAGAATCAGGGAATTAGAAACACAACTGGGTATGCTAGAGAGCTCTCACACATGGCTAGAGAATAATCTGGCACTGATGGCTTGGACAAAAGAGTATAAATAGAAACAGGAGCAGGTAGAACAGATGAGAAGTGATGAGAAACGGGGCAGAATTAGGCAGGTAAATGAAATGACCAATTAAGCCAGCCATCATCACCAAAATCATGACATTTAACCTTTAATTAGAGTAGGTAAATACGATTATTTGCCATTTAATAATAATAAGCATTTTTATCCTTTAAATAAGACAAATACTTATTATGGAATTGAAATAATAGGCTGTAGTTATTTTTTCTAATTTTAGATCTAAACAGTCTTTTCCCATTAGAAAAGTGTCTCACCTAGCAGCTCAATAAAAAAAAATCACTTAGTTTAAGAAAAATGGACTTACTTAGATTTTAATTGTTTGTAGTGAGGGTGCAGCTTGATGGGATAAAAATGGATTCAAGAATCTGCAATGGCGTGTTAAATGGGCAGATATGTGATGGATGTACCGAGAATATCAAACATGTTTTCTCTTCTTAAAGACTGAAATAACTCTTAACCTAAATATCTGGATTCCTTCTCAGTCTTTGGTTTATATCTTCATTAATACAGGCATCATTACTGTTTGCTGTCAGCAAAATGAAACAGTAGAAAAATAAATCAGTAAATCAGACGAATAATTCACTGTCTGATATCGTCATCCACTTGTTTTTCTTTTCCAAATCACATAATTGCTTATTGTAGGGAGTATTTACAGAAAATAACCGAGGAGCCAACATATAAACGAGCGTGCCTGCATGATTTGGTGTATTTATGTGTCATCTTAGGAATGCGTGTGTGTGTGTGTACAGAAATGTTTCTGTTTTCTCAGTCAAGCCAGGTT